GAGATTGTCTTAATTCATTTTTCTTATATATATATATATATATATATATATATATATATTACATGAAAGTTGTATGAAGATTACAAGTGATATAACGTCAATATAATGTCGATATAACGCTCATATAATCTACATTATGTGTGGAGGTCAGTGGACACTTTCACATGTGAAGTGAAAAGATGGGGCTTTTTTTTCTTTGGGGTCCTTCGGGAAAACTTGCACACTTAGCACATAATTCTTATGTATTGACATGTCTCCTACAAACTTTCATATTTACATATAAAAAATTGAGTGATATGTGTAAATATTAAAGTTTAGATGCGAGATACTTAAATAGATAAGCATTGTATGATATATATATATATATATATAATTTTGTATATATAAATGTCTTTTATTTTACGTAGGATGAGCATTGGAAGAGAATATTTTAGAATTTTACCTTCCATTTCGAACTAATTTGTGGGTGGTGACTAAGTGAGCTTTTGAGCTCTCTAAATATATATTCTTTCTATGCAATCCCTCATAATGATTAGATGAAGTTAGGCTTGAATTAATACACTCTTAATATGTTTGAATTCATCTTATTGGGATTCACTTTTAAAGCTTGAATTTTAAAGAAAAAAATCATTTGGCCTCAAAATTAATTCTAAAGTAGCTTATTTGAATATTTAATGGTTTTTAATTTTTAAAAATATGCCAAGATTTATATTTGTTGAGATGAATTTTTTATTGATGTATTAATTTCATTTTTCAATTTATTTATATTATTAAAAAAAAAACTTTTCACATTTTACCACAATGAGTAGTCATATCAATATACTTATTTATTTTTTTCTTGTTAGCAATTGCTAGATAATACTTTAAAAATTTTAGGCTTATAAAGTTCTTTGTCATATTACTCATTACTTTATGGAAATAACTTAAAATAATGATTAATATGATATATATGATAATTTATAAATACTTTGATATATATATAATGACTAATATGGTACATTAATACTTTAAATTACCAATATTAGCCATTGCAAGTATATATATTTAATATGATAAAAAACTTTATCATATGACTAAAATTTCATAACAAGACATTAACTTCATCTAAACAATTGCTAGTTAAAGTCTTGTTGTGAAATTTTATGTTTATACCATATTAAAAGATTTATTTATCCTTTTATTTCTCATAGAAATTAACTATGAAAAAATTAATTATGAAAATTAATTTTATATTGATATTATATTTCTTAGATATGCTATTTTGTTTTCACATTTATGATGCCCTTGAAAATGTACTTAAAAACATAAAGAGGTATTTACATACGAACCACATAATTCTTACGTATATACATATCTAATGCCCAAACATTTATATTTACATCCATACTATTATTCAAAGTTTTAGCATCACATCAAAAAGTTACAATAATCATCTTTTTAAAAGTTAAATAGATATTTTCTTTTATAGATGTATGACACCAAAGTATTTTAAGTGTAAATATCAAAGTTAGGAGTTAGATTTGTAAATACATAAGAAATTTAGGAGTTAGATGTGCAAATTCATATATATGTAAAATTCCAAAAAAAAAAAAACTCTATAATAAAAAAGGAAGATAAAATATATAATAAATTTAATTAAATAAATTGAGATTAATTTTGTAATTATTTTCAAACTAAGATTAAAGGAAGGCGAATACACACCAATCATAAAATCAACACTAAAATTACATAGAAGATCAATGAATATCAAATAATCATGTGTATCTTATCGAAAACCAGATCAAATCTTTGTAAGTTGACAAGATCTAGTCAGTAACATCTGAAGATGAACAAAACGAAGACATTTGAGTTTTTTTAAGGCCCATCATCTCCATCTTTGATTAGATTGCAAATGTCGGAGCATTCCGCCAGGCTAATCAAATAAAAACAATTTATGTATATAAAAAAAATTCCATTTTTAATTTTGATGCATGAAAAAAAAATTTTGAAGTTGAAGAAAATTTCTACCAGTATTGGCGGCTTCTAAACTCTTTCTTGAAGACAACTAGAGGCCTACACTTGCAGTGCACCAAGATTCAGCTTAAATGAAGTTAAAAATCAGTATTTGCAGTAATTCACCTTCTGATATTGAGGACGCCTTCACCAGGGGAGCCGGCGCCGCCTCTGATGCAAGTGCCAACACACTTAGCAGTACAAGATTCAGCCTTTTTTGACCGCGGCCGCTGGATTCGCGCTTGCTTCGCGTCCTCCCCTGCGCACACCAAGTGTTCCACGAAATGCAGTCAATACAAGGGAAATAGATTGTGCGTCCCTCTATAGGGAACATGGTGTCTTACCGGAGAGCGTTTGGGGGATGTTGGCTAGGGTTTCTTCCGGCGGAGCGGGAGATGAGAAGAGCACGGCGGCGGCGAGGAAAGCCGGCAAGCAGCTGCAGGTTGTTATTGGGTGTGCAGATGGTAGGTTCTTGATGGAGCTGAGATAGTAGCGGTGGGGGTGATGGAGAGTGGACGGGAAAGAAGATGGATTGCAGAGTCGAAAGAAGGTGGGAATGTCCATTCTATTGGTCTTCTCACTTGTGATTCTCCATCCCTTATCTTCTCGTCTTTTCTTTTTCATAAATATTGTTTTCTTTAGTTATTTTTTTCTTGCATAAAAGTATACTTGAGGAGGAAGAGATTCAGGCGAATTCTAGACAAGTACCGCCAAATTTTTATACAGTTACCTCGCAACAAAACTTATACGAACGAAAATGAGAACTTCATTGCAGGGTGTTGAAAAAGGTAAGTTGAGTGTTGTGTATATAGAAATGATATATCTTGGTATGAGATAGATAAATGCATACGAATTTGGTGTTTTAGTATGATAGTTGGATTCGTCTTGTCGAGCCGCTCGATTTGAGTATAAACTTGTCATATTTGACAGTCATTTGACTTTCCAAATATATTCATTAATCTTTTAACTGTAGTTTAATGACTTAATTTGGGTTTGATTTAATTTGGATTGTGCTAGTTTTCATATCATTAGGTCTGTTTGATTAAACAGATCAGTTTGCTCATCGAGTCGGTCAGTTTGACTATAAATTTGTTGAAATCGAAGCTTTGGATGACTTTTTATCAAAATTTGAATGTTTCTTGTTTAAAATATCATCTCGAGATTCGTGTCATGCCTCGAGGTTCGTGCTTGATGATGAAAATTTATTGGTGGTGTATCAATTTTAATCAATCATTAAAAATAGTAAAAATTTTGATTTTCTTAGTTCATTCAATATTAAATTAAAATATAATAATTTTTTAATGAAATATCTTTTTTTTTTTTTTAGTTTGTTCGGTTAAATGAAAATTAAAACGGAACTAAAAACTGAAAATCAAAAGCCAAATATTAAAGTTTAAAAAACCAAAAACCAAAATCAAATTTTAAAACCGAATCGAATCAACCAAACCTGATCGGTTCGGTATGATTTTCCGGTATTGACTAAATAATGCACACCCCTACCATTGTCTGTCTGGTTTCCCTTGACCACCAGCTGAATCGTTGTGAATTGTAGGCAAGCAAACACTCGCATTACCCGATCTGGAAGATGGCACCCAACACACTTCCAACTAATAAAAGAAACGCAAACTATCTATTTTTCCAAACTCATAATGTCATCAGAATTCGTCACCCAAATAGCATGTACGTCAGATACTATGTAAATAATATACAATAAAATGGAGAAGATTTATACAAAAGAAAATATATCTGACTGCATTAATACATACATATCCTCTCTATACATTTGCACAGATTTCTTTTGATTAGCTCTAGTAATCTATCCTCTTTCAATCTGCAGTAATCTATCCTCTAATCCCACCGAAGTTCCCCTCTCAAGTAATTGTTCATTGTCGTCCTCCACTGAAAACCTCAACAGAGACAAAAGCTACCGCAGTACTTTTTACTGTTTACCCTGCTTACTGTGCTTTCTTGTTTTTTTTTATTGTATAAAAAAAAAAAAAAAAGAGAAAGAAATATCTATCTAGTACTTTTAATTTTATTTTTTGTTTATCATAGTCATCGTCTTTCAAGATTGCGGGTTTAGCTTATATTTTTTGCTAAGATAATTGAGAAGATGGACATTATCCAATGCCCCCAACCTACGAGAGGCTCGTAATTTTTGGTGAATTTGGACTTGTGAATAAGAAAATTTTCAAATTTCTTAACTTAAAAGAATATATATAAATCATTTGAAATTTTAAACTAATTTGAAAAAAATCAAGATCTTAAGATATAGACTTCTGATTTTACAAGTATTTAAAGTCTTGGGCTTCTTATATTTTGACTTTTTAGGGTAGACAATGTTTTAAAATTCAGACTTTTTCAGACTTCTAAAGGCTCTTAAAGTTTTAAATTTTTAAAATCTTTGGCTTTTAAAATATAAGTTTCAAGATTTAAATACTTCAAATTTAAAGCTCATGAATTTGCAGATATTTTAAAAATTGAGCTCTTTCGACAGAGGCTCCTAAAGCTTAGAAATCAATTTAAAAATTAAGTCTTTTCGGACTTACGCTACAAGAGTACGAAGAATAATTCAACTGTGTAGCTTTTGGGAATTAATCGTCACCACCACCTAATTCGCAATGCGTCTATTAGCAAACATAAGGCAACCTTTTTTTAAGCCCAAAATGAATTTTAGTATGATTCAAATATCATAACATTGCAAATATCTCTTGTTCTGAATGTTTTCAAAGTTTATCAATTTTTATAACTACTTCTCAAGTTAAATGTAGTATTTTAAAAATTAATACAAGTATCTTTAAGACTTATATGAATAATGGGTCGTATACTCTAAGGCTACCATATATCCTAAGAAATCAAATGCTCTAGCTAAAATAACTATATATGAATGTTAAAAACCCTCATGTGCTTCAACCAATGTATTGAATATTCAAACACTAGGTTCGACAATAAGAAAAATTTACATGAAATTTACCAAAAACTTAGTTGCTTGCAAGAAAATCCGATAAGAAGGAACAATGGAATGTATAGAATACTTTTTTTGTCACTGTCAATCACTTTTTTCACCATATAATGCGCTTCTAAGACTAACATGTCTATATTTAGTTCTATAGCAGATCATAAAATATATGGGCAAAAAGCTAAATAGCAAAACAGTGGAGAAATTACGTTTGATTTCATTTTAATACGATAAAAATATAAGGCATGACTACATTCATAGCACTCGAAACCATTGATATCTTTATGATGCTGTTAACTTGATAATTTACCACAAT